TATTAATGTTGAGGCCTAAGAATTAGCAAAAAATTAGGAACTCGAACCCGGTCACCGACCGGGTCTTATAAACTAGTTAAATTCTATTTAGTAATTATTAAAAAAGATGTAATTTTTTTTTAATAGAATAGATAAACATGTACAAAATAAAATTTTAAATATTTATTTTTTTAAATCATATTTATAAGGAAATTTATATTCATAAAACGTACTAAGTGAACAGGATCGGATACTCTAAGTAAAAATGTTCAGGACCGAGAACTGAAATTGGGACCTTATGGGATCTTGTATCTAATATACACATTACGGCGGATTGGCGGAATTGGACCTTTATTTAGATACTTAAATTTGAATCCTAAATTTACTTCATAAAGTAACATAAAAGTAACATGCACTAGCTTTAGAGAACTGATGTCCATATAATTTATTAATTTATTACCCTTAAAATGATCAATTTAGGGTCTAATTAAAAGGTCCAATCCGCCGTAATGATTCATCTTAAAGCTGCATCCTAACCCCAATTTAACTCTAATTATGACTATATGTTATATAACATGGGTGTTATGAATATAACTTTTCTATTTATAAATAAAATTTAAAAAATAAAATATGTATTTAAGGATTTTAAAATTTTTAAAAATATTAAAAAAGGCATTTTATAATAAATTAAAAGCATATCAGTAAATTTTAAAATCAAAAATAATAATAAAATCGATCAGAATTATAATGGTGTACAAAATATCTCGCAAAATAATAAATTTGTCTTATCTACAATGAGTTAGTTTGCTTATTATGTATTATTCTATATATTATAGATGAGATCCCTCGCAGTGGGATGAATCACAGTATCTGTGAATTTCATATTAGTAAATTTGATATAATTTATCACTAAAGACTGTAATATATTAAAACGCAAATTTTGTCGCATAGAAGGTCTATATAATTATTTTGCAATATGCTAGGCTTATTTTACGTGAAATCATTTTTAATCATACGGTTGGAGTATCAAATATACTATGTACTTTCTTTCAAAATTTACGTGCTAATTTTACAATTAAATACCGTAAATGTGCGCATACAAGATCCCCCTTATATCAGACCCATCCTCATTTTTTACTAATTAAATTTTTTGGTGGAATATAAGAGACCCGGGTCTTGTATATGCACATTTACGGTACGTATGTTGTGGGTAGTTAATTAATTCATGAATCTACTTAAGTGAATCTCTAAATAACTTAAATGGAAATAGAGCTTTAAAATGAACAAGCAACCCAAATTTTATAATAAAAAGATCTACAATAATTTTAAAGATCATGCATCATGTTTTCTCAAAAATTTTAAGATTGATATGTGAATAATAGCTATTTCCATAATATTGTATCAATTAGATCATCTATGTTTATAAAAACTATTTTACATTCGCCTTTACCTTTATCTAGTTATAGCAGAAAGACTCCATTTTTTATAGCATCTCATATCTAATAATTTTATTTTGGCAACTAATATTCAGTCAATATGGTTTGTTTGTGAAGTAAACAGATCAATAATATTACGATCTGTTGTGAAATTTATAATAAAATCATAGTCGATTAATGAAATAGAGATTTATTGTGTCTGACAAATATTTAGATTGTTTTTAGCAAAGGCATTCGGAAATGCGTACCAGCCACTGTGGCTAGATGATATAACGCAATATAAAGTAAATACTATACTTCAAATTTATAACTAGTTGATAACCGGGTAACGATAATATGTAAAAGAATATACAGTAAGACCTCTCTAAGTGCACGCCATTGAGGCCACACTTTAATAACGTGCATGTAGAGAATAATGAGAAAAAGTGCATTTATAAAGGTCAAGTATATATTTGGACAGCACTTGAATGTGCATTTGGAGAGGGTGCACTTATAGAGAGTGCACTTAAAGAGGTCTGGCTGTATTACATAAAAAACCTTTTAATTTATTAAATATTTGTTTATAAATTGTATTTTTTCTGGCTTTTTTTTTTCACCGTTTAATTATTTGTTGTATTGAGAAAACTTCAAATCACTTTATTTGAAATGAAATTTTTAAAATAGAAAATTTTAGCCTCTATGATTAAACTTGGATTAGTCTATACCCACTTCAAACATGTATTTTTACGTACTATAAAAATGACAAGATAACGATTACATATAAAAAAACAATCTGATCTAGATCTTCAGTAAATCTAAATCCTATTCAGCCACTATGGCACACCAATACGGTACACATTTTTCGGATACTTGATGAAGAATATTATTCTGGTATTGATATCTTAAAAACCTTTGCAAAATATGTTTTATTTGTAAGCTATTTCAAGATCCAAAATTGATTCTGAGTTCTAAATCTATTTCAAAACCCTCCTACATGTATTTTGTTGCAAATGTTGATATTAAATTTAATAAGTAATTTAATAACTTATCAAGTATTAAATATTTTTCTAATTTAGATTAATTGTAAAATACATAATGTTTTAAAAAATTTTACCATTTCAGCAACTAAGCTGAAAACAAATATTAAATTCCGAAGTTGCTTTAATAATTTAAATCCAGTCAGTCGGTAGAAGCCTTGAATCTTATAATCACTACACCAAAAAAAATATGACGTTCTAGAAATTTTATCAACCAATGTAACGCGATTTTTCCTTCAAGAATATCTGAGCAGTGTGAACTTGGCAATATTTTGTTGATAATTAGACAATTTTTTTAGTGTCTCTAACCATCTCTTTTTCTTTATTTTCTTTTTTTCCGAATTTTTTTCTCACTAAGATTGGTATCAAAGCTCCGATAGCAATTAAAGTCATCGCGATGATGTTATTGGTTGTAAAAAATGATATTTCATCAGCTTCTGTTAAATGTTGGATTGTTTCTCCAGCTTGTGTATGAATAAATGACAGAGGTGCCACACCTTTAAAGGTATTATTTACGAGATTAAGATATGCAGAATTGGTAATTATAAACCGAAGAAATTACTTTAAGTAAATAAATTAAATACCGAGCAAAGTTGCCCAAAAGAATACATTAGTATTTACCCCCAAATGAGGTGATGCAATATTAATAAACCAATTCGGCAAAAATGGTGTTACTCGAAGAAAAATGATGTATGAAAATAGATGTTTCCTATGATCATTTAACTATGTTCAAAGATACAATATAAAGTATAATTATTAAGTTTTTATCATTCAAATTATATAAATAATAATCACCTGTTCATTCCAGATTTCCATGCGTTTAGAAAAGAACCTTTCTGTTACTGCTCGGCCTAAATAATATGATAATAAATTACAGATAGTAGCACCTATTGCAGAACACTAACATAATTGTTTTCAAAGATGTAAAAATAAGTTGAATAATTTTATATAGAACCAAGTTATCTATTCTAAAATCAGTAATATAAGTAATCAACGAAAACTTACAAAACAAACAAGTAACAAAGCCCACCAAGTTCCCCACAAAGCTCCTCCCAGCACGCTAAGCATTACGCTTCCTGGTATGGCGAATGATTGTAAACTAATATGTTAAATATCAATATTTTTGAAATATGTTATAGAGACGAGCGATGCAAATAAAAGATCGAGTTTTAGTAGCAATTACAACTTACAAAGTATAAGTTACGACGTAGCAAATTATAACATTAATGTCCACAGCGTCATTATCGGTTAAGGCTTTATGTAATAATTTAACATCATATAACGATCTTGGGAACCTTAAAGCAGAATTCCTAAAAAAAAAGTAAGAGGTTTAGTATTGTTACTGTATTGCATTAAGGAAAAATAAATATTTACCCTGCTTTAGGGAAATTAAATTTAAGAGTAAAAATCCATAAACTCAAAGATATTATAAATATTATAATCAGAAATATAACTGAAACTATAATAGATTGCTTTGATTTATGCATTTCGGAGGTTCAAGATAACGATAAATTGTTCATTAAGGAAAAAAAAGTATTGTTAATTTATGTAAATCCAACGTGATTGTTGGCCAATCAAAACCAATCAAGGAAGGTCTTGCATTACAGTCTAATATGTGTAAACTTCATAGTGAAGATCATTAATAAAATTTCCGACTTACAATTAGATCTTCCGATTTCCTATTTTCTATTAAAATATTATAAAAAAGTAATATCGTTCAAATTTTTATTTTTCTTGAAGTATTTAATATTTTCAAATTCTGTAAACTGTTTATGCTTTATGAATTTTATACTTAGCTTATGGAATATTATGGTCGCCAAATTAAACCCGGTAAATGATCTTCATGTAACCAGTAAATGATCCTCATATAAGTAACTATACTATAAAATCCTAATCATTATAATTTTTTATATATCATATGGGGTCTTTGCCTTGAAAATAGGGTTCCGAGGTCTCCAAACCAAAAATTGAGATTTTTGCTAAATCCTAATCTATAAAACACAAAGCTTATTTTGTGAAAATTTTATAACCAATTAACTTAATGTTAAAATATGCTATGGAAGTCCGGAAATTTGGTGGAAAATTTTTTTTAATATCTAAAAATAGAATGGAAATGATCAACCATAGTGGTTACCATCAATTTTGTATGGGTATTGTTACACAATTTAATTTTTATCCAATAATAAAAAATTATATGAAGATTATATCTAAAATTAGCGGAAAATCAGGTTTGAGTTGTTTGGGTTACACAATCTTTATTTACTGTTTATTCAAAAAAAATTACTAGTCCCGTAACTCAATTTTCAAGGCAAAAACCCCATATGTAAAATGTAATGTTGTTACTTTATGAATATATGTTTAATAATGCATAAACAGCTTACAGAATTTGAAAATATTAAATACTTCAAGAGAAATAAAAATTTGAACAATATCTAATTGTAAATCGGAAAATCATTAGAAAAAAATATGATCTTCACTATGTAGTTTGCCACTATGTTTATGATTAAACTGATATTAGACACTCAGTCTTGCATATCTAATATCAGATTGACCACATTCATAACTGGGAATTAATAGAAAGAATTTTTTGCTTAAAATTGAGTTCTCAGAAAAATTATTTTTTAAACTTTGATTCATAATTAAGTATATGAGGAATATTTGTGTAATTACGATTTCAATAATTCTTTCCATTCTCATATATATAAAATATTATAATATTACATATTTAATTATAAGTTGAAAGTAAGTTAACCCTAAAACTTGCTTCCGAATTTATTCTTACCCAGCATTCAATTGGTCATTTATATTCGAGAGCAGTTCCTTCTTTTACAACTTAGCATAGCTAGTTTACTGATATTTATTTCTTATTTACCCTATATAGTACTAAAAAATGAGTATTTCGCTCATTATTGTAATTTATTAGTATAAGTTTGTATAACAGCTTATGCGGATATGAGATAATGTTTTCTGCAAGTTGCTTACAATATGCATAAAAAAATCCTTATCATTTATTATTATATTATTGTAATAATAATGATAACGATTATAATAAGCAATAATTAGTACTGTATTATTGCTTATCTGAAAAACACAATACGTCTTGTTATATAGAGTAATGCTGGCTACGATAAGAGCCAGGAATAGCTTTATTATTATTAGAGATAGATATGAAGTAAATAAGAGTAATAGGAACTAAAACGATAAATATTCCAAAAAGATAGCAATAATAATTGTGCTGGGAGTCATCATAACAGACTAGAAAGAAATTAAATAGGCGATCCTAGTGTGATAAATTGACAGAACATGTAGTGCACTTTGTAAAAGGAATACAGCTAATGTAACTTATAGTTTATTAAATTGCAAAGTAAAAAGTAATAATACAAAAAAAAAAAAAAAAAAACTTTCGCTAAAGATAGTAATAGTATGAGAAGATTAGATCGATCGAACTGTTATGTGGTCTACATGACTCATGTGATGTTTGATCAGGGAACAGATTGTAGGCATGATTTCGGGAATGATAAATGAGTGATGCAAATATTAATAGTAAAGTCAGTCAAATGATATTAGTAATGCATGAAATATGTCGTAATATAGTAGAGTTTAATATTGCAGGAACAATGCATTAAATTAATAGCGATTAGTAAGTAATTAAAAAGTTAAAATATGTATAAAGCAATAAATGATATAATTTGTAGTCATGAAAAGTGTGTATAAAAATCGCAAGAAAAATAAAGATTTGATTAGTGCTTTTATGTGAAAATTGTTGTCCCAAACACAGTAATATAATACAAACCAATTCGGTGCTCTAGTGTGGCCCATAAGTTTATCACGACGCTCTGCCTTTTGAGGTAGATTTAGTAGCTTTGGCTATTATTAACTCCCTTGTCACTGGCCTAAAAATTTAGCCAGTGGTTTCCCACCTGCCGAAGCAGGCTAGCTGTTAGAATGTGGAATCATGTGATTACTATTTGTGGAGGGATAAAGTGAGGCCAAAATACTGTTTCTATAATGCTTTATAGATAGGGCTAGTAAAAGTTAGGTGAGGCGTATTTATATATAATTTGGGTGGTATCTAATAGTGTTACTGGGATCTGTGAGGCACTGGCCAATGGGTCATGCATGTCATTGATTGGTTTGTCAGAATGACTTGTATTACTCATGTAGACGGTGGCTCGTGGATCAGCTGATTTGTACTATATGCCCCATACCATGTGTGGTTTGGGTCAGATCGGCGCTAAGTCTTGTAAATCAGCTGATTTGTGCTGTATGTCTGGCATCATGTGTGGCCTGGGTCAGATCGGCGCTAAGTCTGGTTTTTGAATTGTTGACTTTTGTCAACATATACAAAAAAACATAGACACATGCCTTGTTATATGGAGTAATGCTAGCTGCAATAAGAGCCAGGAATAACTTTATTATTATTAGAGATTGATGTGAAGTAAATAAGAGTAATATTAATCAACTCTTCCCGACGATCACCTGGACCAAAATTTTCCGCTAAAGAAAAACCAGAACTACTTGTTGGAGAGTCGTGGCCTATACAGTGGTTTGTCTAGAGG